TACAATGTATTGGTTGACCATGAAAAACCTTAAGGTGTATAATTTGTCATACAATGTATTGGTTGACCATGAAAAACCTTACTGGGTATATAATTTGTCATACAATGTATTGATTGACCATGAAAAACCTTACTGGGTGTATAATTTGTCATACAATGTATTGATTGACCATGAAAAACCTTACGGGGTTTTTGACATTTCTTTAATGTTGTTATTTAATTTCTATTAAAAATTATTGGCTACAATGTTTAAAATAATTGTTATGTTTGTTATTAATGTTTACTCTTATGGATATTATTTTGTATTGTTAACCTGAAAGCTTGGGTACCCAACTGATGACTCAATGGATTTTATTGTTATGTTTGTTATTAATGTTTACACTTATGAATATTATTTTGTATTGTTAACCTGAAAGCTTGGGTACCCAACTGATGACTCAATGGATTTTATTGTTATGTTTGTTATTAATGTTTACACTTATGAATATTATTTTGTATTGTTAACCTGAAAGCTTGGGTACCCAACTGATGACTCAATGGATTTTATTGTTACGTTTGTTATTAATGTTTACATTTATGGATATTATTTTGTATTGTTAACCTGAAAGCTTGGGTACCCAACTGATGACTCAATGGATTTTATTGTTACGTTTGTTACTAATGTTTACACTTATGGATATCATTTTGTATTGTTAACCTGAAAGCTTGGGTACCCAACTGATGACTCAATGGGTTTTATTGTTACGTTTATTGCTAATGTTTACACTTATGGATATTATTTTGTATTGTTAACCTGAAAGCTTGGGTACCCAACTGATGACTCAATGGATCATAATCTTGTATAATTAACTGTGATATTACGTACAGTTAGTCAGTTTATTATGTAGAATTAGCTTCATTGATTTTATAGGTTACATTTCAGTTCTGATCTTCATATTAGCTTAAGTAATCAGAAGCTAATTATAATTATATTAATATATCGCCGTATTGGCTTCTCGTTCTTTCAGTGCAAATCACTAGGTGATTTATTGTAAGTATGAATTTATGTTACGACCCTACATTAATATCAAAATCTATTACTATGTTATACTAGCTGGAGTACCAGTTCATTGGACTGATGAAATAAAAACTCGTTTGTAACAAAAGATAGGAAATTGTGCTTCTATTTTTTTCTTAATATAAACATTAAAAGTGCAATAAAAATACATAAAAGTACCAATACTGAAAAGAAAGACGTCCTGTTTGCAAGAATTCTATGAGTATGAAATTATATGGGGGGTCTACCCCTCCTCATGACCTTCCTCATGTCGACCTGTATCACTGTGTAAAATTCGGTGCTGATTGATCAAGAAATGTGGAAACGTGTAAGGAACAAACATACGCACTCATATTGACGTTTATTTACATAGATAAATGCTCAAACGAAAGATTGCTGATAGTCAGTGAGGTCAGAATTTAGAACATATTATATGTACTCCGTATACTTACCTTTTTCAGGGGGGGCTATTGGTCCCCAAGGTCCCATTTTACCAACAATTTCGTACAAAATAATAGCAAAAGAATAAACGTCTCCTTTTTGAGTCCCTCTAGCGGGAGGATTAAGCATTCTCAGCAGCTCTGGAGCCCTCCAAAGAAGACCTGTGTAAGGAAGGTGAAACGTTTAATTGTCCTTTAACCTATAAGTGATACAACACGTTTCAAAATTAAAAGTGTTATTGTATATTTTACCTTTAAATAATCGCCTAAGACTATATATATATATATGTCATACAAGCTAGGAAATAAGGCATACAATTTGTATAGCAAATGGTATTTTGTGCCGAACAAAATGTCAAAATGACGAATTGTTATGTTCAAGAAATTTACATGTGACTCAAAAATATATTCAAATTTAGCAGTTATATGTTAATAACGTTGTAGAATGCATTTCATTTTAAGTACTATATGAAATACGTTATGTGGAAAAGCTCTCTTATTAATTAAGTCATAAATGAACGTTGTTTTTAGATCGTATTCAAGCAGGGGGGATCCTAATGAAACCCCATTGATAATATTAATGTAAATAGAACTGAAGTCCGAACAAAACTTTAAGTTATTGTTGTAGTTTTTTTCTGTCTGTTAGTTACGAGACGAGGTAGTTTAAAACACATACATATGTATATTTTCACACACATAAGAACAATATCATGCTAATGCTTCTTTAATGTTATAAAGTGTGAACCTAAAGATATATCAGTAAGTTCGGTATTGGGTAGTCTTCGATGTGAAGTTTTCACATTAGGCTTACCACTCCGTGTCAGGAAGTCTTACCATATACTGGCTGCCAAACTAAAACAGTATCCTAAAACACGTAGAATTCATTATTCACTGAGTGACAAACCAAAATTATGTCCTGAAATGTATGGCACGTTTCGTAATTATAACGCATGCTATATCACAGTTTAGGAAATACTGTTATTTATACGAGAAGAAGATTTATCTTTGATATCACCAAATCACTATCTTAAGATATAAAAAAAAGTTGGATAATAGAAGCCACTTTTCCAAAATTATACACACAATACCTCGTATGGGCATAAACCCATCGGGGGTATAAACCCATCGGTTCAATAAAAAATCATATCACGGTATAGAAGATAATTTTAGTTAATAGACTTTTGTGTAACAAACTACAGATTATACGTGTTGGAAAATCTCAGATATCGTGTTTTTATGTGATAAATGTCAGATTATATGTAGTGGAAAAATGTCACACAATAGGTAGTTTTATCTAAAATTCATCCATCGTTTACTTTGGTATATTGCAAAAGAAATCAGCCAACTATACCTTAATTCCCCCTCTCACTACGATTTATTTTAATGGCAACAAATAACAACGTGTATACCCGAGGTATACTTCCATATTCGATCGCATATACACAAAACTATCAACACGTAAAGAAAAACAAAAATGGTTTCATTGCCAACCCTAACGGATAAGTTTCTATAAATCTACATATTGTAGTCTCTAGTAATTATTTCTTTTCTAGTTATCTCTCCCTTTCGTTGTAAATGATGCTAGAAACCAACCTCTTTCACGTTTTCTTGCCTGGCTCACAGACAATTCCTGTCCTTCGCGGAACTCGTGCAGACCGAAGTCTGTGATCTGTAAAACCCAGCGAGTATCGACCAGGCAGTTGGACGACTTCAAGTTGCCGTGTGAAACAATGGGACTCTCGTGGAGGTAAATCATACCCTGGAAAATAAATCAGTGAAAAATTCCTTTTCCCGTTTTTCTCCGCGTAATTACGTTTTCGCGTAAACAGATAGATTTATGAATGTACTAAAACATAATACTTATTCGTTATACGTGTCTTACTCTTGAGTACGTTCATTATTTAATCTTACACATTAAAACAACATCATTAAATATGTGTTCTTCATCAATGATGCCTAATAACTTCTAATAATGTTGCCTACACCTTTTTTTTCCCATTTTTTATACATTTACATGAACATCTTTTTCATGTCGAGAACTTTATTATTAACATTTCTTGAAATGAAAGTTTTATTTGAAATTGAACAGATGATCGGTGAGTCTTAGGTTTCACTATAAAACACGCCTTATTTAATAATATAAGCATTCAATTGGATAAATAAATAGTGGCTTTACTCCCTTGTGACGTCACATTACCTTAATAAGGTCAGCAACTAATGACGCTACGAACATGTTGTCCAAGTCCAGATCCTTGTTTTTCAGAACGTCCTGTAGCCAGAGGAAAAAAAAAACGCCTTGTTTATACAAAATGACAGATAATTTTAGAGAAAAATAAGTAAAGCCGGCTGTGATGTAATTTAAATGTCTCTTTAATTTTCTAGTTAAATCTATCACGTGGACATCCTCTGTACCATCTGCTTTATCTCAAAGCAGTCCTACCGCCTCTGAAACATTTAAATAAAATATATATACACATTGTAATGTACACTTGCGATTGTTAATTTTTCGCATTTTCTAAAACTTCGCTGGCCTGTGTTGTCACGCCATATTTTAAACTGAAACAAAAAACAGAAATATCTTTAAGAAATCTTAACCTAACAACCAAAAATAAAATACAAATTTATCTATATAATAAGATATTTACTTAGTCTAATACCTTTTCATTTTTACCTATCAAACCACTATCTATCGTATATAAAGACGAAATGTGTGTTTGTTTGAGGAGAATTTACGGAATATATAATCTATATATATATATTTGTATATAAGGACGAAATGTGTGTTTGTTTGAGGAGAATTTACGGAATATATAATCTATATATATATATTTGTATATAAGGACGAAATGTGTGTTTGTTTGCACCCTAAGTCCTCCGAGCCTATTGGGCCAATCTCAACCACAATTTGTATGTAAACACCATTAACTATGGGGAATGTCCTAAGGGAGTCAAAATTGAACTTAACACTATTTCTCTTTTCTAAAGCTTGTTGGTTAAATACTCTCAGCTTATCGAGTCAATATCAAACAATCTTGGCTTTATACAATGTTGAATATTCTAAATGGATTCAAGGTCAAAGTAGAGAAAATTGCTGGGTTGTTTCTCAAACAACCATGCTTTCCTCATGGTCAGTAAGATGTAGGGTGTTCAAGGTTGGGATCACCTCAAAATATTTATTTGTTAGTAGATGTAAAGCAAACTACAAATGTTGTTTGTGAAGAAGTTTTTTTATAATTTTGAGATAGAGTTTATGTTCAAGTTATTACTTTGAAATATATTATTGCTGTTAAACTTACATTGTTTTAATTAAGTTTAAACATTTCCAGACTGTTGACGGGTATTTCAGCTTGTTTTAGTTTATTGTTACGTATCTGCTCGTTTGTTAATTTTCGGTAGAAATTCTTTCCGAGTAACTTCAGCGATACAAGTCTTATCTTGATTAAACCAGTTTATTCTTTCTCGATACAAACATTTAGTACACAGTAATTCCACAGGCAGTACGTTTCTCGTCACTTTAATCTTAACAACTTTTATAATACACGCTATAAATCACAGCGATTCACAATCTCGATAACTTCGCTCTCTACAAATACAAAACACACACTTTATTATTCCGCTGGCTTTCGCTGCCAGGCTTAAATACTAAAGAAGGG